CTTTTTTCAGTTATCTAGTTATCCCAAAGGTTAAATATTGCAACTAACAATAGAATTCTCAAGAAAAAAAAAAGAATTCTATTGAACATTTTACTAATCTGCTAGGGATTTTGGCTTGTATTGTTGTTAGGATACTTCTTGGTAACGATGACATCGTTCCTTTTCACAGGGTAGTATATACTTCTATCTCATTCCACATATGTGATATAAATAAAATAAACTCATTTACTTACGATTTACTGAGCGAAAACTGATTGAAACCAGAATTTTTTGACAATAGCAGCAAAAAATTAGCTTTTTTTAAGGGCATATCAGAAGATCCCTTATAACTTAGGAATCCTAAGACAACATACTTACAGCACACCTAGAGTCTTTACGGAGCGATATCAACTGCTTATACGATGCTTGAAGAAGTTTTCTTTTTATATAGACTCATAGTAAAAACAAAGCTCTTCATTTCTACGCTATTTAGTCATTATTGGTCTAATATCATAATTCTAAAATTTTCATTAGACTGATTTAGCTATGCTATGTAACAATAACAATAATCAATATTGATTTCAATGGGGGTGTGGTTGCAGCCGCCAGTGTGAGCTTGGCGTGTGAGCGTAACGCATACTCACAATCAGCCACATCTTGATTGAAATCAATGTTGACTAATGTTATTGTTACATATAATAGCTAAATCAATCTAATGAAAATTTTAGAATTACGATATTACATGTATGATGGCTAGGGATGCACCAGCTCTGTTCACAAACCCCGCTCAAATGAACCAAAGAACTACTCGAACAGTTCTTTCAAACGAACCGAACTATTCAAACAGCTCTTCTCAAATGAACTGAACTGATTTAACGGTTATTTTGAACTAACTGAACTTAAAGTTAAACTAGCTACTATTCTACCATGCTACTCATAAGTCCTCAGGAGGTATCTTCTAGAAGTATCCAGATGTCTTCAAGGGCTATCCTGTAGCAGCATCCACATGTCCTCAAGGACTACCCTATAGGAATATTCACAGGTCCTCAAGGACTGTCCAATAGAAGTATCTACAGATCCTCAATGCCTGTTCGATAGAACTATCCATCGATCCACAACTACTCCTCTATGGAGTTACTGTTGGATTCTCATACCATATTATAGGGGATTTCCATCGCGTCCTTCTGCTCTACTATAGAAGATATCATCGGATACTCAAGTTCCGCTATTAATGGTACCATTTCGTCCTCAAGTAATACTATAGGCGGTACTCTTAGGTCCTCAACTTCCACTATTCAGGGGTACCATTGGGTTCTCAAGCCCTAGTATTGGAGGTGCCGATATATCCTAAGGGGGCAACGTTAGGTCCTCAAGTCCTACTACAGTGGCAGCCTTAGGTCCTAGAGTCCTGCTTGTTAAGAAGTATCCTTCTATCGTCAAGTTATACTATAGGGGTATCCTTAGGTCATCCACTCCTACTATTCGCGGATAGCCATGCGTCCTCAAGTCCTATTACTGAAGGTAACCTTCAGTCCACAACAATCACTGACAGTATGACATGAAAGCACACATCTTCCGGAACCTACCTACTGAGGAAATAGACTACTCCGCTTCCGCACTTTATTTTTCTGCGACATACAGCAGGGATGCCTAAACAAATACATCACATACGATAGAGAGCCCTAGCAAAGTGCAACGTCCGTCCTAACGTCACTTATGATTCTCACGAAAACATAACCGGAAAACTCTTCCTCAAATATTCTTCATCTAATTTTCCACCAATCAGATATCAAGGGGCCTTTCCTTCCTTGTTGTTCGGCCAACGAGTAGCCATGTTAGGACCAATCCTAGGGCTATTGACGACGCTCTATCGAATGACAAGTATATATATGGGTCATAGTCGCTTCTGTCACTGTGAAATAGAAACTCCCAATCTCATTGGTTCCTTGTTGAACAAGCAGATCTTTGATTGGCTTTTTCCGTATTATCTGGGAAGTTACTGTTATGGCAGGATTCACGAAAGCTAGGTTACCCTCTGTAGTAGTTGTTGATGATGCAATGGTGCCTCCAGATCATTGGTTGAGGATATAAATATATCTTCCTATAGCAGCGCTTGCAGAAAGAAGGCTACCCTTTATAATAGTAGTTAAGGACCCATGGGTACCATTATATAATAGAGCTTCAGAACCAATGGTGGGCCCTTATAATAGGACTTGACACCCTCAGGATGTCTCCTATAATAGGATTTGACGACCTGAAGGTACACCCTCATAAATAGGACCTGAGGTCCTATAGGTAACCCTGTAATATAGGACTTGCGGGTCGATGGATGTAAATTTTCCTGATAGCCTGTTGATGAAGCTCAACTCTTTGAATGAAACTGTTCAAAGAGTTCAGTTCAATGGAAGAGAACTGTTCATGAAGACCAATTTGTTCAAAACAACTGTTGAAGCAGTTTAGTTCATTTGAAAAGAACTATTTCAAAAAGTTAGGTTTGCTCAGAAAAAGTGTTCGAATAGTTCAGTTCGTGTTGGTGAGCGTTTTGAACAGTTCCTCAGTGCTGAACTAAAACTGAACTTGTCGACCTCTAATGAGTACTCCCATAGGATAGCCCATGTGGACTTATGAGTACCCCTATAGGATAGCGCATGGGGACCTTTGGCTACCCCACAGAGTCGGACCTTTTTGGTTCTGTGTGCTGAGCTGAACTGTGCGAACAGTTCAGGTCAGTTCAGCTCTGTTTGTTGAACAGTTAATCAATTCGGGACTTTCTGAAACACGATTGAAAATGAGCGTTGAAAGTATATAGCGAGAAACTTACATACATCACTCTCCCACAGATTACGATAGACAGACAGACAGATAGCATATATTTTTGGACGTCAGGATATATATTCTAAACTAAATAGTTAAGTAATTATCATTTGACATTTACTTTAGACTGTGTCTAGTGCTTGAAGAACGGTAAATAATTGATTTTGTCTGTCTGTCTATCTGAAACATGATTTTTTTGCTACTGCCTATATGAATATGAATCATCTTTTCATTTTTATCTCGATTTTTGCAACTCTTTTATTTTTATTCGTAAGATTGAAAAGTTCAAGTCTTTAGAGATAAATTTAACAAAAAGCCTGTCTGCGTATGCACGTGGAGATCTGTCTCTAATTCGTATTTAAATCATTCTCTAAGTAGTATTATAAGATTGTTTTATATTTTCCATTTCGAATTTTTTTATTAATTAAACTATTCAATCTTTTCTAAGATGCGATTTTGAATCAGTACTTTTAGTATCTGCAAAAAGTGACCCACTATTTTATAGAAAATGGTTGAGATGTTGATGGTTTTTTTTCTTCAGGCAGAAATAGTGTGACAGATCTCGAAATCAGAGGAAAAGGATGTGTTCACACTCTTTGAATTCTTTGTACCTTTCTAGAAATAAGGAACCCTTACCGTTTCTATTTTTTGGATATTTGGATGAGGGATAGTTGAAAGTAGTTTCAATCGGAAATACTTTCCGTTGATATTAGTTTCGAAATTGTGTCAATTCAAATTTACTCGGTTGTCAGTTCAAATAGTCTTCAAACTTAGTCCATGAAGATCGCATTTTTTCATTCAAATATGTCTTAATGAGCCCCGTTGCAGTTGTGGATGTAACTCTTCTCTGAATCCATTCCCACACCTACGCCCTCATTCCTTTGAGCATGCTTTCATCTGTTTGCTCCTTGAGAACAAAGTAGTGAATACGGATGAGGACTTGTGTGCATCGTATAGAAGCACTCAAGAATAGGTAAGAGACAATCACTAATCGAAAAGAAGCAGTGATCAAAAATACTTTATCCTTTTTGCCCCCTATTAGTAAAACAAAAAATATTGTTTCTTGAACCGACCAAGGGTTAGCAGGAGTGATCTTTTATACAAAACTGAACAGCGCCATGGTGAGTCCATATTAAAGTAAAGAAAAAATAGAAACCACATGATATTTTCCTAACAAAATCACTTAAACTTTTTTTTTTAAGTCAATTAAATGTTCACCAATAAAATTGAACTTAATTTTGCCTTAGTTTAGATGGTCTACCCCTATTTAGAAAGTCAATTTATAAACCCAGAAAGTTTTACTTTCTAGGAAACTACCTATTTGTAAGTTGATAGAAACTTGTTGGAATCATCCAAGTAAATATTGTTCGTCTATTTTCTGTTGTTATATAATAATACAAATCTAATATCAAGAAAAGTAGCTTGTCATTTTGATTGGAGAGATTTTATCCAGTTTCCTAATCGATTCTGAAAATCATTCGATCTAATTGAATCTTTACAATTTTGCCCTAACCTTACTTATCCTAAGGTGACATCACTTTTAATTCCTGGACAGTAGTCGTCAAATTATTTACACATCCAACAGTTTTATTAAAGAATAATGATAACTACATACGTGCTTCAACTTTGTTAATCAATGATTTCAACTGATAGCGGGTTTATTTAGCAAAAAGAACCATCTTTTTTTTATTAGTTCAAAATTTACATAATCTTCTAGTAGAAAAGAGTTTTCGTTCAATACCAATAGCTGTTTGAACTTTAGAAAGGTAAAATTCTTGGAGAATGAGAAAAAAGGATCTAGACACTGAACCATTTCCTTTACTCTTTGATGTGCATGATTCAAGGGGGAAAAGCAAGACTTCAGTACTTCACTTACTTCACTGTACTTCACTCGTACTTCAAAATTCTGCTTGAAGTACCGCGAAATTCGAGTGAAGTAAAAGTGAAGCACAAGTGAAGTACAGGGAAGTACGAGTGAGTACAGAGGAAGTACAAGTGAAGTACGGCGAAGTCTTGCTTTTTCCCCCTTGGCATGATTACATGAGCTTCGTTTCTTGATATGAGGTTCTTCCATTTTGCGAGATACTTCAAGTGTAACTTGAACCTATTTTAGTAATCTTCCTACATGCGACTTTTCGTAATTTTTCAGTTATGCAAAATTTTCCCATGAAGTCGTTATAGTAAGCAGTATTTAATTATTTGACCTATTACTTACCGGTAGCAGCGGTTGTTGTCGATGTTGTTGTCGACGTTGTTGTTGTCGATGTTGTTGTCGATGTTATTGTTGTTGTTGTCGATGTTGTTATCGATGTTATTGTTGTTGTTGTCGATGTTGTTGTTGTAGATGTTGTTGTTGTCGATGTTGTTCTTGTGGTAGTACCTAAATGAATATGATGAGTTGGATTGAATTAGAAATAATCTGTGTAACACAGTATTCTTGCAGTGCATTGATAAATTGATTTTTAGTCTGCTTTGAATCACTTTATTTAAACTGCTTACCACTTTCGAGATGCAATATAGACTAGGATAAGTATTTGGAAATATACAGTTGAAGCATATTGATCAATCAGCTCGAATGAACGATTATATGTCCTATTGTGTGGGGCTCAATTCCAAACTGTGCGTGCACAGCTGAACTTAGTGACTTTCAGCTGACAATTACTGAATCATCAACTTTTAAGTAAGCAAAGGAAAATACCAATACTTTATTTTCGTTTTTTATTGTTCAACTTTCTTGCCCTTATCTATCACTCTTGAATAAATATGTCGTAGCTTAAACGCATTTTCCTTCTGCTACGAGTATTCTATTAGAAAGCTGCATGAGCTAGGTTGCTGTTGAAGTTCATTGAAGAGATAACAATAACTCGAAACACATTCTGATGATAAATATGCTTCTCTTTTTGAACGCTTTGATTCTCTCTTTTGTCGTATTGTTTCTTTATTTCATATTCTCTTTCTGTATGATTCGTAAGAACAGTAAATTCTTAGTTTTATAGTTTAACGCAATTCTCTTCCTTGAACGACTACAAAAATTTTATTCATTTAAACATTTTTGCCGTTTCAGGGGTGGGTGTGGGTGTGGGTGTGGGTGTGGGTGTGGGTGTGGGTGTGGGTGTGGGTAGGTGTGAGTGTAGGTGTGGGTGTGTGTGCTAGTCTTGTCTCTAGTCATACCAACACCCACACGCACATCCACATCAACATTCACACCGGCCCACACTAACTCACACCAACACCCACACCCACACCCACACCCGAAATTGTGTCGGTTCACAGTTACACGGCTATCAGTTCAAATAGTCTTCAAACTTAGTCCATGAAGATCGCATTTTTTCATTCAAATATGTCTTAATGAGCCCCGTTGCAGTTGTGGATGTAACTCTTCTCTGAATCCATTCCCACACCTACGCCCTCATTCCTTTGAGCATGCTTTCATCTGTTTGCTCCTTGAGAACAAAGTAGTGAATACGGATGAGGACTTGTGTGCATCGTATAGAAGCACTCAAGAATAGGTAAGAGACAATCACTAATCGAAAAGAAGCAGTGATCAAAAATACTTTATCTTTTTTGCCCCCTATTAGTAAAACAAAAAATATTGTTTCTTGAACCGACCAAGGGTTAGCAGGAGTGATCTTTTATACAAAACTGAACAGCGCCATGGTGAGTCCATATTAAAGTAAAGAAAAAATAGAAACCACATGATATTTTCCTAACAAAATCACTTAAACTTTTTTTTTTAAGTCAATTAAATGTTCACTAATAAAATTGAACTTAATTTTGCGTTAGTTTAGATGGTCTACCCCTATTCCGAAAGTCAATTTATAAACCCAGAAAGTTTTAATTTCTAAGAAACTACCTATTTGTAAGTTGATAGAAACTTCTTGGAATCATCCAACTACATATTGCTCATCTATTTTCTGTTGTTATATAATAATACAAATCTTATATCAAGAAAAGTACCTTGTCATTTTGATTGGAGAGATTTTATCCAGTTTCCTAGTCGATTTTGCAAATCATTCGATCTAATCGAATCTTTACAATTTTGCCCTAGCCTTACTTATCTTAAGGTGACATCACTTTGAATTTCTGGACATTACTCGAAAACTTGTACACAGACCCAACAGTTTCATTAAAGAATAATGATAACTGCATAAGTCCTTGAACTTTGTTGATCAATGTTTTCAATTGATAGTCCGTTCATTTAACAAAAAGAACCATCTTTTTGATTAGCTCAAAATCTACATAATCTCCTGGTAGAAAATAGTGTTCATTGAATAACGATAACTGTTTGCACTTTGGGAAGGTAAAATTCTTCGATCAGTAAAAAAAAAGATTGAGAAACTGTAATCATTTCATTTACTCTTCGCTGTGCACGATCACATGAGCTTCGTTTCTCGATACTAGGTTCCTTCACTTTTCGAGATACTTTAAATGTAACTTCAACTTATTTCAGCAATCCTTGTACATGCGATTTTTCATAATTTTCAGTTATTCAAAATTTTCCAATTAACTCGCTGTAGGAAGCAGTATTCAATTATTTCACCAATTACTTACTGGCAGTAGTAGTTGTTGATGTTGTTCTAGTTGTTGCTGCAGTTGTTGTCGTGGTAGTAGCTGAATAAATATAATGAGTTCGATTTAATTAAAAATAGTCTGAGCTCCACAGTATTCTTGCGGTACATTGATAAATTGATTTTTAGTCTGCTTTGAATCACTTTATTTAAACTGCTTACCACTTTCGAGATGCAATAAAGACTAAGATAAGTATTTGGAAATATACAGTTGGAGCATATTGATCTATGAGCTCGAATGAACGATGATCTGTCCTATTGTATGAGGCTCAATTCTAAACTGTGAATGCACAGCTGAACTTAGTGACTTCCAGCTGACAATTACTGAATCATGAAATTTTAAGTAAGCAAAGGAAAAGCTTGTTAGCGCAGCCCGTTTGGGGCTGAAATGTGGAACTCAGATATCTTCTTTACGGCTCCCTATAAACTACGCGAACACCTGCGAACATCACGAAATGAAAGATACCTTAGATCTACTTATATAGATAGATAGAACTCAATGAATTGTGTCCACAAACACCTACTTCGAATGGACCCGAAAAAAGATTTGAATCATGGAAGTCAAGATTTTCTACGAACACCACTTACCATATCTGCGAACACCTACGAACACCTCTCAAGCATGCTTGAAAATCTACGAACACCTGTCTAATGCAAATAAACCTTCATTGCAATCAATCTTGACGCAAAACTTGGATCACTTTATCGACACTATATCTATAAATATCTAGTAACATTTTTTAACCACACTTTTACGTACATAATCGTCTACCAATACCAAGAAAATAGTTTAGAAAATCTACGAACACCAGTTATTTGAAAAGATCTCACTTGAAAATATA